GATAACGCTACAACTACAACATCAATGAATACAACAAGCAGCGCTCCTCCTCCATCTTCAGTTATTCAAGGATTATTAGATCAAATGCATGACATGGGTCTTGTTGATGATGGGAAAAATTTAGAAGCATTAGAAGCGTCAAACTGGAGTCTTCAATCAGCTATCGATATCTTACTTAATGATATATAATTTTCGATTTTTTGTTGTTATTCTTTTGTTATTTATTTAATTCTTTTCTTTAACGAGATAATTAAGATACATAATTGGTTAATATTTCATAACTTGTTATAACTGAATATATTTGATAATCGGCTTAGAGTATAGTATCTGTTATCTCATCATGCACTCACTCTCCTTGTTAGAATGAAAATTTATTTCGTCTGCATATGGTCTGCCAGTGCAAAATGTTCAGTTAGTCGCCAAATAAATACATGAATTAGAAGCGTATCTCATCTCTCAGAGTAGATGAGCAAAAATCTCACTGCATGATCTTTTTTTAATGCAAAAGAAGTTCTTCTCGCCTAGAGTGAAATCTTATGAAGCAAACAAGGGAACATCGTGCCTCCCTTCCTCTTCCACAGTGTTTGTTTCCTCATCCATATTATAAAATTATATTTGTTTTATTTTCTTTTTCTTTATTAAATAATAACAATAACAATTGTAGATCTCTAGTGTACTTGTATGGGTTATTTCAGATGCGTACAACATCAATAGATGTATTGCAATAAAAAGTTCATTTCTATTCACCACTAAAGTGCTGAAACAAATTTCGATTTTTCAAATTTTTCGTAATTTCTTAATGAGCTACAGGAAAAAATGGCTTTTTGTGTTTTTCTATAAATTTCGATGAACGAATATATCTCCAGATATTTTATGATATTTGTTTATCAACTAGAGAAGAAGCAAACTATTCGACTGAAAATGGCAAGTAACATATAGAAAAATTGATTAAAATCAACATAATTCAACCAACCGGTAAAAATCCATCAATAATCTTTTCTGACAAGCTTCAGTTTGACATTTTCTATTAGAAAGCTTCTACATCTATCTCAACTACCAGTTTTGAGTTAAAAAAAACGACGAAAAACGATTTAAAATTGACTTTTTGAAAGAATGTGACCATCGTTTAATCTAGAGAATCATTTTTAGGTACTTTCAAAGTCTATTAAACTTCTATAATTATTTACTTTTCATGCTCATTTTAACCATACATTTGAAGTTGTTTATCTACCGTTACGTTTGAATGGGATTTATTTATTTAATTTTTAATTTTTGCAATTTAGGAAAGTGAACTATAAGATGAATTATCTTCCCAAATATGTATTTCTCTACAAGTTACTACTCTCGAACATTTTTTATACTCAAAATTGTCTTCAGCAAAAATGAATTACTGTAAAAAGGTTATCGAAAGAAGTCATCATTTTCTAGAAATTGTTTTTAGATTAACATTTTTTTTAAGTGAGTATTTCAAAGAGCATCATTTAAAATCTTTAAGACACGAGACTTAAAAATTTAATTAGATCGTTCGCGTGATCATTTTCTCATATATTGTTTTATCTTCAAACAGTACTTTTCTATAGCATCAACACTAAAAAGAAATGGTTTTTTCACAGAACCTAAGGGATTTCGTACTCGTAGATGAAACTCCTCCAAGGTTTCGTAGTTAATTTCTGAAACCAGCAGGATACGAAATTCAAAATGATTTCGGAGCTCAAATGGTTTATATCTTTTCAAAAAATATATATCTTTTCTGAAGAAAGAGTTTTATAGAGAACTTTCAATTGATAATAATGTATCTGTTGTATTAATAGACCCGTTACAGGTGTCAAATGTTTTCTCTTGTTAGACTTACAGTAACGTTTCTAAACCCTTTAAAAGAGCGTAAGAATGCGAGAATTAAGAAGAAAATTAATTCCACATAAAATAAGAGAAGATCGACCTTTTTCTAGCTTCTAACTAACGATCAAGAAAACTTAGACGTAAAAGGTTGACACGAAACCCTCGATAAGGAACCTTTTCTGAACGGCAAAATAGAAAGGATTCATACTAAACCCCTTCTGTACAGAATCTTGAAATGGTTGCAAAATTCGAAACCTGTAGTGTATTGGAGAGTGTATTGGACATCAATTAAAATAGAAAAAAGGAGGATTAGAATAGATTAATTTGATAGTCCACAAAGTACAATATTTTAGTCAGTATTTTAATTTCGTGCAGCTAATCAAGACTTATGAAGCCTCGCCTAATTTCATCACTATATTCGTAAAGATAGCCTATATAAAGAGAATTTCTCGTCTATTGATGAACTAACAAGAAAATTACCTTGTTCTGTTCATGTATAACTCTCGTATGTTACAATTTCTGACATTATTTATGTAATACAATTTATAAAAAACTACGGAGCGGATTGCAATTTTTTAGAGTTTAGGAATTGGAAATGGTTTGGACTCGTATTTTCTTTCGATCGTCATTAGGATTCAAAAGAGTGCACAGCAGAAGTCAAGATCTAGGAATGGACATTCAAAAATATGAAATTTCTCTTCGTTCTTCAAATATGTTCAAGTGCAATTTTTCACAACGTAAGACAGAAAACTCAAACTAGAAGTCGGCTTTGTAGGAAAAAATTCATCAGAACTTACAGTTTAGACTAAACATTCGAAAAGTCTTAGGTAATCATGAATCAACCTTCTTTAAAAATATAACAGTTTGTAGTAAGGTCTCAACAGACGTCCACCCAATCTTAAAAATCTTAGACAAAGCAATCTATATTTTGATAAGACTTTGGAAGAGCCTTATCAAATCTTAAAATTTTCGGGTTTCACAATCATAGCAAAATCTGTCTAAGATCTTGGCAAACTTAAGCAGAATCTGATTCGGGTAGGTTGCATTGTGAAATCTCCTAACTTTAGTAATTTCTTTTGATTCGAGGCTGGTGACATTTCTAATGAATAAAAAATATTTTGTTTGTCTGAGTATTTTTACTTAGTTTTCTCTTTCTAGTCGTTTTATGTTCCATTCAAAAACTATCAGTATATGGTGTGTTTTGTTAAATGAAGATTAATAAAAATATTAATGATAGAAAAAATGTTTGATAAGTTTCTTCTTTTGTAGAATTTCATTTGCAGCTCATCAACTGATAATCACAACGATTGTTGAATTAATCATAACCCTCAGGCAGAGATGAGCGAGTCCGAGTCGACTCGAGTCGGATTTTTCTATGACTTGGGCTCGAGGTGAAAGACTAGATAAACTTGGTAAACTGACTAGAGTCACTTTCGAGTCAGTCATGTGCAACTTGAGATTGTTATGACGGTGTTTATATTTATTATATTTGCTATATACCGGAAAAGAGAGAGATTTGAGAATATTCTAAGTAGAGCAGAGCATTTCTTGGAAAAATGAAGAATCTTGGTTAGAAAGAAAAAGGCTCTAAGTGATTCGATTGAATTTTTGATGCGGCTCGGACTCGGACCTCAACTCGAAGACTACTGCCTCAGACTCGAAAAGGTGATGACTCGCTCATCTCTGCCCTCAGATCTCAAAACCCTCACTTAATAAAATGAATACAAAATACACCAACGCTACAAGATCAACAGCACACAATCTCTTGATAATCGTTGTGGTCAATATTTTCAACATCTGATATTGAATATACAAAAGAAGTCAATATTAGTTATTCCGTAAAACGATCTCTCTTTCCAACTATTAGTTATAGTTGGAAAGAGACATCTATCACCAGCAGAATATGACGCACATTTAAAATGTGCGTCATATTCTGCTGGTGATAGATGTCGGTGTATGCCAATTATTATCTTCTCAAGTTTACTTTGAAGCATTTGGCTATTTCTAGAAAAATAGTGAATGATTTGTCGGTAAAGACTACTACTTTATTATCGTTTTTAACACAACGAAAATTCTTTCTTTGAAGGCGTGCGTAGAAAATACAAAAATGGCTTCATCATCAGCTGTCTGCGGACAGCTAACACGTTAGAAAAAATCCAGCTACATAATAAAATGTCACTATGACCGCGGGCTTTTGAAAACTAAGTATTGGCCGCAAGCGATTCAGCTCAAGTCTATACATCTTCAACTTGTTAACTAGGGAATTTCCATAGTGAAAAACAGCGTGTATACCAAGATCAATGAAGAGAAAGAAAAGAAATTAGAAATGTTTTTGCTTTGCATTACTACTATGTTCAACAACAAGTGCCGGTTTTGCGTTTCCTCGACGCATAAGACTGAGAAACTTTTTTAATTGTAAAATTATTCTACCAAATTGAAGAAAAAATAGTGCGTTTCTTTGTTTTGTTTGTTTAGATATGTCTATTGTGTATATTATTTTAATCATATCAACATTATGTTTTTTATTCGTTGAACCTTTGTTTCGTGATATAACCACATTGTCAAATAATCCTTCTAATTCTGATTTATGTTCTGATATTTACGCTGAAAATGTCACATCTGGTATTATTCATAGTTTAAAATATTACGGAGGTCAACTTCATCCATCGAATGTATCATGTTCGTGGACAGTCGTCAATAAACAACCTGAATATTCCTCCTCCTATTTTATTCTTTCTCTTCGTTCAGTTGAATACGAAGCTCGTTCAGTAGCATCAACAAACTCGAAATATTTTCTTGAGTTAATTTTATCATCTCCTACTAAATTATATCGTTTTGATGAGATAAGCACTTCAAGAACACTGTACATACCATCTTCAAGTTTTACAATAAATTATATTTCACGTGTAAATAATCATCAACAATATAATTCTCACATTCGAACAGATCCCCATGTAAAACGTTTTCTTGTCGAATTTATATTTGTGTCAGATTCAAATCCAACAGTTGATAATTATTTCAAATGTAAAAATTCGAGATATGTTGCTGAAAATTGGCAATGTAACTGTATCGATGAATGTGGCGACGGATCTGACGAAGAAAATTGTTCTCTAAAACAATGTAGTGAACAACCATTAGTTAGACCAACACAAACGTGTAGGCGTGATGAATATTGGTGTTTACCGCAACAACAACAATCAAAATTACGATCATTCTATGATTATACAATTATAGCAGCGAAACGTATACCATGGTCAAGTTTCGAACAAGAAGTAGAAGATGAGAGTATAAATGATTATTGGATTAAAAATGAAAAAACTGATCTGAAAGGTACTTGAATTTTCTGTCATCTGTCTGCTTTTAATAAGAAAACAAAACTGTTATGTAGATAAAAATATCGAACGTTTTTTTAAGTCTTTGACACATGTTTCTATTTGTTTAAGGTGTATGTGTTCCAGATGTTCGTTTACCATGTTCACCTCAATTGTCCAATGATTGTCTTTATTATTCAATTCCTACTCGTTATCAATGTTCACATTCAACCGAATCCAATTATTTAACATTTGTGTACAGAAATGATCATGGCTCTATATATATTGATTCATTGACATTAGAAAATTTTTTTACTGATAAAAAGTATGCGTCTTTATGTTACGTTGTTGTTGCTCAATTTCAACATAAGCTAAAACTGTCTTTAAATATAAGTGGATTACTTAAACCAACTGATAACAAACTATCATCAGCTTTTGAACTGAATGTTTATGATGGTAGTGAACAACAGCAGCTTCTTCTCCATACATATCTGTCACATCATCAATATTATCCAGAACGCAAAGTAATCCAGCTACAAACAAGAGTCAATCATATAGCCACCGTTGTTATTAGGAAAAAAGACAATCAACAACACCCGTCTTATTATCCAGAATATTTGACAAAATTAGCTCAAAAACAAGAACCGGTACAAACAGTGAAAACAGAACACCATGATGAAGATGTTCTAGGATATATTGATGGGACAAACAGATATAATGATACACCAGTAACTGATAACAATGTTATCACAGTCAAAACAAATAGATATCAACGATCAACGGATGGAAGATATTCCGTTTTAGTCGATGTTACGTACACACAACAAATATGTCCAGATGACAAAATACCCTGTGGACGTTATGAAACGAAATGTTATTCGAAATATGAACGATGTGATGGTGAGACTTCTATTCTTCTATTCTTATAAATTATGTTTGATTGTTCAGAGACCTGATGTGAAAAGATATATATTTAATATCTACTATTTAGGTAAATGGGATTGTATATCCGGCGACGATGAATTAGGTTGTTCGTCTGAACATTGCCCAACAATGTTTTCTTGTGATGGCACACGTACTGCTTATCAACAACCTCATGGATTATTCGGTACACAATCACCAGCCGAGATTTCAAATGAAAATGTGAACATATTAGGAAATACAGCAAATAAAATTGTTGATACTTCATTTTCATCTGCTCGCATTCAACCACAACAACAAATACAATTTCCTACATCACAACGTTGTTATACATGGTCAGAACGTTGTAATGGCTATGCATTTTGTCATGATAAGTCGGATGAAAAAATGTGTACAAAATGGTTTTGTAATTCGAAAAATGGCACATTTCTTTGCCAAAATTTGAGATGTATATATGAAACTTGGCTATGTGATGGTAAGTAATCAATCTTTATATTTGTAGATGATTGAATTAGCGTAATTTTTGTTTGTTTAGGCGCTGATGATTGTGGTGACAATTCGGATGAAACCGATTGTCAGACTCGTTTACCACGACGAATCGTAACAGCAGCCGTTATTGGCTCAACTGTTTGTTGTACACTATTTATCATTGCACTTGGTTGTACGTGTAAACTATACCATTTGAGAACGGCTGAAAGGCGAACAACAACGCGACTACTGAATCCACAACGATACATTGAACGACATCGACAACGACAGCAAGCTGCAGTATCGACAACGCCTGAAACGAATGGTGTGGATACAAACAATAGTACAGATTCACGTCGTTTGGCACCACCAGTATGTACTATTCTAAGTAGAAGGTCTCCTAACTGTGATGGCAAGCTTATATTTTCTTTCTTTTTAGTCTTATAATCAAACGATGGGTTTTATCGATGACAATGAAGAACGTCAGATTGCATTAGCTGAACATTTGAGATCAGCTGGCTTAACAAATTTAATAGCATTACCATCTACACATTCGTCACGAACTTCACGTTCAGTGTCTCGCTCACACCATAGACGTCATCGTCGACATCGTCATCGACGCCATTGTTCGTTAGGTGACTCGTTATCCCGTGTTACTCTTCTAGAACCAAATAATGTTCCAGCCTTATCTAGTAATACAAATGATAATACCATTCCAAATGTATCATTTATTCAAACTTCTTCTACACGCTTTCAACGTTTACGTTCTCATTTACGTCAAGGTTTATCATTATTAAGACCATCAGCAGCAGTTTCTTCTTCTGTCCAACAACAACAATCTCCAATTGAATCAACATCAACGAATTTTGATATTTATGAACGATTACCAAGTATATATTTTGATAACGAAGATTTACAGCCCTTAGCATCAACAATAACACTGCCACCACCTTCAGTAGTAACCACTGAACGCCCAAATTATTTAACATCGGATTTTATTCAAGTGCCGCCTAATCGTGAACTTCCACCTCCATATACTCCTGTATCAATCATCGAACAACAAACAAGTCAGAGTTCTAATAGTAGACGAAGTAGTAACAGCAGTAATAGTAGTACGACAACAACAAATCAAGAACAAGAACGACCAATTATACTCTTTCGCAAAAGAAATTCAACGTTACAGAACCGTCTAAGACAACTCGTAAGGAATATTGGCTAATGAAAACACCTGAATTCTGGAATAAAATTGTACAGGCCGTACCAGAGATTTTAAATGATTCATCAGCATTAGGTATTATTACGCATACTTTTTGGAAACCTAACTCTCATCCATTTTTGCTCTCAAAGGTTTATGCCAAGATTCGGTATTATTTTGTGAAAATGATGATATAAAACGTTTAACTCAGTGAGTCTAATTTTAACCATTAGTTTGGGTCGAAATTTCAATTGTATATTTTTCGTACGTAGAATGGTGCAAGATAATCCATTATTATATAAAGTTGTTTCACAAGTATTAAAAGAATGGACAAGTACAAGCAATAGTAATACAGCTGCGAAAGATATTCAATTATCGCCTGGTAATGTGTTTTCTTCGTCTTTTCATTGGATGTTTTTTCATTACAATAATAAAATCATTTCATTTCAGCTGCGTATTATCTTAATGGTCATCGTTTTGGTAGTCAATTAGCTATACCACGTCAACAGACAAATTTTAACGTGATGCCGAGACGTATTACCAATGAAGATTTTCAACGTGCTCTTGAACGAACAAGTAGAGGAGCAGCAACAGCAGCGTCAAGTCAACATCAACAACCATCACCATCATCATCATCATCATCATCTCATTCAACATATAGGCGACAACAACCTTCCACATCTCGTACAACAATAAATATGGAACATTTAAGAAATGCATTACAATCAGCACAACAACGAAGTATGTTTCATTGTTTAGTAAAACTTTTGTATTGTCAAAAATCAATCTGATTATGGAATAAATAAGTGGCTGATCTTTTTTTAGCAGATAACGCTACAACTACAACATCAATGAATACAACAAGCAGCGCTCCTCCTCCATCTTCAGTTATTCAAGGATTATTAGATCAAATGCATGACATGGGTCTTGTTGATGATGGGAAAAATTTAGAAG